TATAATTATATTTTATTAATTTTCATAAACATTTACAGAGATTTTGGGTTTCCACTCATTCATTGTTGCACTATTCTCTCTACCCTCCTCCCAGTTTGTTCTTGTCCAAATGCCACAGTGCTTGTCAAAGCCAGTTCTGATTACTTACGTATTTTAATATCCTGGGAAGAGGTAGAAATATCTAGTCAAAGTGCACCTTTCAGTGGTGGGCATTTGGGCTTTACCATCTGGCATCTCAAATGAACGTTGTATCTAAAAGATAAAAGCAAATATGTACACTTTTTTTCTGGCAAAAAAATCTTCATTTAAGATGGAAAACATGAATTCAGGAGAAGCCACCTATGAGTCAACAGAACAACTTCTTACAAGCTATGCCATCAGAGTTCCTTATTTGGAAAAGGAGGACAAACTAAATGGTTATTACACAAATGAAAAAACACATGGTGTTCATGGGTTGGAAGACAGAGCATGTGAAAAACATTAGTATTACCAAAATCAATCTGCATATACAGTAAAGTCCCTATCCAGCCAGATCCTGCCATTATTTTGTAAAGATATGAAAAAAGCAATTACCAAGTTCACACATATATAGAAGAGACTATAGATAACATAATGCTATTGAAGACGAAAAACAAAGTAGGAGGCCTTACACTTTCTGGTCTCAAAACTTTTTACACAGGTGGAGTAATCAAAAAAGCTTCCTATTTTTACAAGCATACAACAGTGGCAAGTACATAGATCAATAGTATAGAGTTAACAAATCCATCCACCTACAGTGGAGGGGTGGTTAAAAAGGGAAAAACTCTCCATCAGATGGACTGAAACAGTGACTGCAGCAATGGTCTCAAGGGTGTCCAATTGTTACTCTGGCACAAGATAGGACAGAGTTCAGATTTGCTAATCAAAGTGTCATACTCAACTCAAAGACACCTAACAACAACACAACGTGGAACATGTTAGACATCTTAGACAAAGATGTGCAGTCTGTTAAGTGTGAAAAAGACAGCCTCTTTAACAAATGGTTCTACTAAAATGGGATTTCTATTTATAAAATTGAAACAACATCCATACACCATATACAAGAACTAATTCAAGATGGATCAAAGACCAAGGTGATCATCAAAGAAAATCTGAGGCAAACGTAGGAGCCCTACTAAAGACACAAACAGATTCTCAAGTCTAACTGAAAATGCACAAGCAATAGATGATAAATTAGATGATAGAGACCTTCTAAAAACAAAATAGAGGAACCAAAAGACTTCCTCAAAAAAGTAAAAATCAACCCTACAGACTTGGAAGACTATTTGACAATGATACATCTGAAAAAAGATGTAAATTTGTAGAAATTCTCACACTGAAAAAAAAAAAAACCGAGAGAGAACCCAATTGAAAATTGATAGAAGACATGAATAAAGACTCATCAAAGAAGACGTTTAGATGGCAAACAAACACATGAAGAAGTACTCAAAATACTCAAGACCATTAGTAATTATTGTTTCTTGTTGTTAGGTGTCATTGAGTGAACTACAACTCATAGAGACCCTATGAACAATGAATCTGGATCATAGCTTATTCTGTGCCTTCCTATTCATAGCTGATAGCAGTTCTTAATACAGCCACTGTGTCAATTTATCTCATTGAATATCTATTTTACATTTAAATTCCACCTTTCCAATCATGATGTTCTTTTCTTCTTTTTTTTTTTTTAAATGAAACGTATTGTTTATTTTCCATCAACTTGATTTCCACTTTTTAAAAGACGGCTTAAGACCATTCCGTGGTTGTGCTGGCCCACTCAGTGGCCGAAGCGGTGGGGGCTGTAGACCAGTCTTCAGTTGCAGGCTGAGCCCTGCAGTCTTCAGTAGGAAACTGCTGAATCGGCACAGAGGGCACCTGGATGCCTTCGGACAAGTCTGTAACTTCAGGCTGAGCAGCAGTGAATTCAGGAGCATGGGCCGTCCATTCTACCTGAAACTCCTCCTTGGTCACAGCCTTTTCAGCAGCAGCCTGCTTTTCCTTTTCAATCTCTTCCGGATCTCTGTAGAAGTACAGATCAGGTATGACCTCCCTCGGTGCTCCTGGGAGATTGTGCCACGTATGCGCAGACTTCCCAGGCCCACACCCACCACATCAGACCATGGAGTGAGCTTCCTTGTTGTTGCACGGGATAGCAATGTCTATGTAGCGCAAAGGAGAATCTGTGTTACACAGAGCAATGGTGGGCAAGTTAACGTAAGATGCTTCTGTCAGAGGCTGGAGGTCAGCCCTGGAATCAGTAACCACCAGAAGACTAGGCTCCGGAAGGCTGCCTGGATCTGGTTAGTGAAGCTCCCAGGAGTGAAGCGCCCGGCAATAGGAGTGGCCCCAGTAGCAGAAGCAAACTTCAGAACAGCTCTCTGGCCTGTATTTCTGGAGGAAATGACACTGACATCAGCTGGATTTTCAATGGCAACAATGGCGCAAGCACCCAAGAGCAGCTTCTCCCAGGTCCTCTTCAGGTTTATGATGTAGATGCCATCACTTTTCCTTTAGTACTGTTCCATTTAGAAGTCAAGGTTGGTGCCACCCAAATGCACTCCTGCTGCAAGGAATTTGAGGGCATCCTCCTCCTTCATTCGCAGGACATCAAGGGCTCTGGAAATTGTGGAAGTTTCCCCTTTAAGTTACAACGGGAACCAGAACAACGCCGTACGGACCCTTGTGTGGGTAGTATGGAAAGGCCATTATGTCCTTTTCTAAGGACTGACCCCACTTAAGAACAAGTTCAAGTATGTAAAACAAAGTTTCACCATTCTAGCCTCTATGAAGCACCCTAGTTCACTTTCCCCAAGAACCACTTGTTTGTTCTTTTGTCAATTCATGGAATAATCAGTACTTTTCTCCAACACCATAACTCAAAGACATAATTCTTTTGTTTTTGTCCAACTTTCAGATGCGTAGTAAGCAAGTAAAAATACCATGTACTGGTTCAGGCACATCTTAGTTAGTTTTATCTTAACATCTTTGCTCCTTGATACCTTGGAGCAGTCCTTGACAGTAAATATACCTAATGCATTCTTTCTTTTGATTTCTTGACTGCTGGTGCCAAGGATGTTGATTGTGAATTTAAGAAAGATGAAATTGTTGACAATTTCAATCTTTCCTCCATCTATCTTCAATCTTTTTCCTACCTGTAATTATTGGCAAGGTGAATTTTTGCAATTCATCTTGAAAGTTGTAGTCTTTGATTTCCTGTAGCAAACATTTCAAGATCTCTTTGCTTTTGGCTGAAGGAGTTGTGTCACTTGCATAATACTGGAAGTTGATTCTTTCTCTGAAACTGATGCCACATTCTTCTTCATTCAGTCCAGAATGAAAAGACGTGGGGAAAGGATACAACCATGCTACACACCTTTCATGATTTTAAATAATGCAATGTACCCATGCTCTGTTCAGACAACAGCTTTTTAGTCTAGGTGGAGGGTTTGTAGGAGTACAATTAGGTGTTCTAGGAATTTCATTCTTTTTTTTGTATGCACACTCATGTTTATTGCAACATTATTCACAATAACAAAGAGATTTAAATGGTCCAATCACCCATCAACAAATGAATGGATGGAAAAAAGTCATACAATCACAAAATGGAGTATTATACAGTACTGAAAAAAATCAAGTAAAACAACATAGATGAGACTGGAATACATCACATTGAGTGAAATATCCCAGTCACAAAAGGAAATACTACATAGGACTGACCACTGTTTAAAAATAGAAAGGACATGGGGGAGGGGAGATCCGGGAAAGAATGGATAATGAATAGAATAGGAGAAGGGCGGGACTGTCTGAAGTGAATGTATAATTAGACATTGTGTGCATGGCAATTGACAATCTGGAATAAGACATGCATTGCAAACTGAACTGCAGAAGGGGAAGGGAGGAAAATGTGTGTCAAGGAATGAGTGAAAACTTATCCTTTCTATAAACTTTCAAGAAAATAACAAATTTTTTTTAAGAAAAGAACTGATTCATGTATATCAAATGTACTAAAGGAAACAAATTAGGAGATTAATAAATATATTAGATAACAAAAGCATCAATTAAAAATTTTGTAATGATAGTCCAAAATGATTTAAGGAATATTTGTTAGAAATTTGCATAAAGTCTTTCACCTAGTATGTTGTTGTTGGTTGCCATCGGGTTGAGCACGACTCATAGCAACCCTATGAACAAAAGGACTGAAGCCTTTCTATAATTATCACCATTTATCAAAGTTCATAGAGTTCCCAGAGGCAGGTTGTTTAGGAAGTAGAAAACTAAATAAACATAATCAAATAGAACGAAGCCCCATTCTTAATGTTAGGAACAATTTGTTACAATCTACACAATCAACTGCCTTTCAATAGTCAATAAAACATAAACAGACATTTTTTTTTAATATTCTCTACTTTCAGCCAAGATGCTTCTGAAATCAACAATGTCATGGCCTCTTCTGAAACTAGCTTGAATATCTGACAGTTCTGTCAATGTACTATTCCAACCTCTTCTGGGAAATCTTCAGCAAGATTTTACTTGTGTGTGATATTGGTGATATTGTTTGATAATTCCCACATTCTTTTGGTTAACATTTTTTGGGGGGAGGGGAACAAATAATGATCTCTTGTAGTCATTTAACCAGGTAGCTGTCTTCCAAATTTCTTTGCATGGACTAATAAACACATCCAGGGCTGCATCTTCCTTTTGAAACACTTCATTGGTATCACAACAATTACTGGAATCTTGGGTTTTGCAAGTACTTTCAATGCAGTTTGAATTTCTTCCTTCAAGATAATTGATTATGGATCATATGCTACTTTGTAAAAGAGTTAGATTACAGACAATTCTTTTTTTGGTATGTTGTTGTTGTTGTTGTTGCTGTTATGTGCCGTCTAGTCACTTGTGACCCATAGCGACCCTATGTACAAGAGCCCTAAACCCTGCTCTATCCTGTGCCAAGCCCACCATCTCTGACACACTCTCTCCACCCCCATCACAGAATCAACCCATCTCATCAAGAGTCTCCCTCTCCTGCTCTGTCCCTCCACTCTCCCAAACACGATGTCCCTCTCCTAGGACTGGTCCCTCTTTACAACATGCCCAAATTATGTCAGACAAAAGTTCAAAATCCTTGACTCCAAGAAGCATTCCAGCTTCACCCTCTCCAGGACAAACCTGTTTGTTCTCCTAGCAGTCCAGAGTATATTCAACACTCTTCTCCAGCACCACAGCTCAAAGGCATCAATTCTCTTTCTATCATCCCTGTCATCATTACTGTCCAGCTCTCCTCTCTGATGCATAGCACATAATTGCAAAGACTATAGCCTGGATCAGGTGTACCTTAGTCTCCAGTCTGACATCATTTCTCTTCAATACTCTGGAGAGGTCTCTGACAGCTGACTTTCCCAGTGCAACTCGTCTCTTGATTTCCTGGCTGCTGATACCAAAAGTGTTACTGCGGAGACAAGCAAACTGAAACTGTTAAGTATTTCAATCTCTTCACCGTCCATACTGATGTTGCCAATTGGTCTAGTGGTGAGAATCTTTGTTTTCTTGATGTTGAGCTTCAATCAATACTGGAGGCTGCAGTCCTTGACCCTCTGCAGCAAGTGCTTTAGATCCTCCTCAGTTTAGCAAGCAGGGTTGTGTTATCTAGTGACTGTATATTCCTTTCATATGCTTATTTTGCTTCCTAGATCTTTCAAAAATGTTCCCATAGCATCTCTCAGTATTGCAAATCAAGGCTTGAATTTGTTTTCCACAGCTTGAGGAATGAAGAGCAAATTCTTCACTTTTTATTTTCTAACTCCAGCCCTCTGCACATTTCATTATAATACTTTATCTTCTTACAATGATCTTTGAATTTTTCTGCTCAACTCTTTTACGTCTCCATTTCTTCCCTTTGTTTTAGATTCTTGATATTCAAGTACACTTTGCAATCTATTCTGATATCTGTGTTGCTCTTTCTTTTCTCACATCAAGAGAACAGTGTTATATCTTCTTACCCTCACAAAAATAATCATGCTCAACAAGACAGCAAACAACAAATGCTGGTGAATATGTGCTGATCAAATGTAAAATTGTACAGCTATGAAACACAGTTTGATACTTTCTTAAAAAGGAGTAGAAATAAGAATAGAAATGTCATTTGATCCAGCAATCCCATTATTAATATGAGCCCCAAAGAAATCAGCGCAATAACACCCCTCCCAAAAAAAATCTAACATATACACACACTCATATGTACTTTTTTCAATAGCAAAGAGTAGCAAACAACTCAAGTAGCCGTCAATGGATATATGGCTAAAGAGATTGTAGTTTATTCACACTATAGAATACTATTCGTCACTAAAAAACAAATTGGTGAAATGCTGCATGAAATGGATGAAATTAGAACAAATGACACTGCCTGACAAAATCTAGTAACAAAAGGACAATTATTATTTAAAACTAGGAAGCACTGGTACCCTAGTGTCAAGAAGCTGTCCTGCAATCCCAAATGCACATAATTGAAATCCACCAGCTGCTCCGCTGGAGAAGGATGGGCAATCTCTGCCTGTGGGATTAATTGTCTCTGAAAACCTGTGGGAGGGTCAACTATGGGTCGATTCTACCTCGGTGGTACAAAACAACAATTATATAAAACTACCGTTACAGGCCTAGTGGTAAGAAGCAGCACTGCAATCCTGAAGGCACACAGTTCAGATCTAACAGCTGCTCCATGGGAGAAAGTTTAGCAATCTTCTTCTGTGTAATTAACTTCCTGGGAAAAACCCACTGAAAGATCAGCTATGGATCAGTTCTGACTCAACAGAACACCACTAATACCACCACCACAACTGAAACAACAAGGAAAGACATATACATAGATATAAAAAAATCTTGGGAGCTATAATATGCATGGTATGTAAGGGAGAGGGAAATAAAAATTAACAAATAACTTGAATAAAGGTAATAGCAATACACAATTGATGGGTATTATACATTGTAACTAGTTAATTATACTGATCAATGGCTATTTATGTCATAAGACAAAATGTATAAGAATAATTCTATTAAAAACAATTATAATGTCTAAACTTTCCCTCAAATAAAAATAAATAAAATGGTGTTCTCTCTGGTTGTGCTTCATAACATGTTTGGTGCTGCTTCCAAGTTGTTGCCTGAAAGCTCAACTGCATAAGCAGGGTATCATTGAAGAATATGCATGTCCTGAGCAGCTCTGTAGATTTCCAACTTGAGCAGTTAAACGTGCATAAACACAGAGCATAGAATTCCTACCTTTTGGAAAATTGCCTGCAGGTGACAGGATGCAGCATATTCTTGCATATGTTCAATAAGTCTTTTAATAAAAAGAGAGCCCAGTGTTGGATGTCTCCAAGAAACATTATCTGTGAATAAAGTGCATTTAAAGATCTCATGACAGAGTTCTCTCTGAGTAGCCTTCCTAAGTAGCCTAAGAAAGAGCCCTAGCAGTTCAACTTCTGCTTTTCCAGTAGAAAGGCAGATTTCCCAGTTCACCTTGGTAGTGTTTCGTTCTGCAGTACATTAAGAGAGCTATGAGCTGACACAAACTTAGTAGCACCTAACAACCACAAGAATAACAATTTTCAAAGTTCTAAATTACTTAGACAGGACATGATCCCAAAATTCTTAGTTCAAAGACTAAGAATATATAATCCTCAACATTTGTGCTGTTTAATTAATTCTACACATATAATTAAAGCATCCTCAATTTATGGCCTGCATATACCTTGTCTGATTTTTCTACCTCCCCACCTGTACTACTTTACCAGAAATATATAATACCTAGCAGAATTGAACTTACATAGTTGATTCTTGTCAAATGTCTTTATTTCTGTAGACACTGATTCTTATTTGCTTTAGTGAAGATAGTCTTTAATTTAAGGAGTCCTGATAGGGCAGTATGTTTGTTACACACTGGGCTGTTAACTAACAAAAAGGACAGCAGTTTGAATGTATTGGTACCTCAAAGGAGGGAGATGGGCAGCCTCTTACTATAAAGGTGTATGGTCTCAAAAACCTGGAGGGATCAGGATCAAACAGAACCAGTAACATCAGTGGGTTGCCTTTTCTAAAAACTCTCCCACTGACTTTTTGGTTAATACTTGATACTTTGACCTCTGTATAAATGATAGTCTTATCTGGTAGACTTTACTATCAAGTAATGTATTTGTATTGTAGAGAAGTTTACTAATGATTGATTCCTTTTAAATACACGAGTGTTTGGGCAATGTAGATGAGGGTAATTGAAGATGTAAATGGAACAGATGCTTGAATTGGTCTTGAAACATCCCACCTAATGCTCGACACTCAAGTTTATAGAGTTTCTCCAAGTTCATAGAGTTTCTGGAGGCAAGCTGAATTTGAAGAAACGATGAAAGTTATACAAGTGTTCAGGTCCTTTGTTCATAAGGTAGCTATGAGTCGTCTATTACTGACGGCACTTAACAACAATAACAAGAGAGCTCTTTTGGCTTAGTGAATAGAAAGTGATGCTACCATGCCAAAGGTGGGTGATTTTAATCTGTGGCCCTCAGGCCTGATTTTAATTGTTCTTGATCAAACATTCTTCTAAGTGGTATAGCACTTGTCTGTCCATTTGCTGTACAGAGGTAACTCGTGGTTACTGTAATGCTAAAAACGGTGACACTGATATGTCAAATGTGATAATGGTTACACATGGTGGACACTATTTGGTAAAGCTCAGCAATTAAAACAAGCTTTGAAGCAGGAGTGGCATCTACTTCCAAAATAGCTTGCCTCTGAAATCTCTATGAACTTGAAGAAATGATGAAAGTTATACACATATTCAGATCTTTTGTTCATAGGGTTGCTACAACTCGATAGCACTTAACAACAATGTTCAATGCAAGAGAATGGAAAACAGATAGCTTTGTAAGTTTTCACTTACAAAAATATTAAAAAAGAATTTAAAATTATAATATAAGGAATGGATGTGTGTTTTTACATTGATAATTCCATAAACTACCCTGAGGGGAAAAGGCGAGTAATTTTTTTTCTGTGTTATTTATAGCTTCCAAAATCCTGCTATAGAATCAGTTATGAGTCATTTCTGACTCCACTGCAATATCTAGCTGACTGAACATCCTAAGAGTCCTGCTATTACCAGGTGTTGAAGAATAGAAAGCTATAAAATCCTTTTCCACGTGAGATCTTTTAATGGCATCGTCCTCATAATCCTCTGTATCCTGTGAGGAACTGTTCACAGAAATTTTTAGTGAATCCTGTAGCCACACCACTCCTTGGTTTTCTAGAAAGACAAGATTACATTTTTTTATTAGAAAGGATAAAAAAAATACTCTAAACGTCTCTAAAATTCTCTAAACTTCTATCAAATCCTATTTCTTAATTAATTTGCCTCTATTAACCATCTATTTGTATAAACATACTCAGTGATTATACACAGAACAATCATTCCAGCAAGTCCTATTTTCTTCTTTCTTTACCTTCAGATATTTCTAGAAATATCCAAACATTAAAGTCTCATTACTAGAAGTATCTAAGTAGTGGAAAAATAGAACAGCTGTCCTAGTCATATAATTCCCCAAAGCTACAATCTTCTTTTGTGATAATACATATTCTTTGTTGTTATGGATTAAACACAAAAAAAGTGAAATTTTCTAGACATATAGAGATGATGATGTTAGTACTGTAATGTATAAGAACCATGCTATATTTCAGCACGTACCACCTCGGCATGCCTGGATAATGATCACTTTGGGTTTGTCCTTCAATTTTGGACAGCTTCGAGTGTTCAGCATTTGAAAAATGGAGTTGACGTGTAAGACATCTGAATTTTCTTCAGAGAAATTCTTCCCACAAATACCATCCCGAATACCATGGGACATGAACACCAGGAAGGTGCTGTCAGATTTCTCATGCTCTGGGCGGGCAGCAAATGTCGTCAGTTCTGCTGTCATGTCCTGAAAGAAGGTATGCCACAGTTTTGAACTTTGTGATTCAGTCTCATACTTGGCAATCAAAAAAAAAAAAAAAAGGACACTGAAAGAATGGAAAAACAATGGCTTGGAGATAAAATGTTAAGTTTCAATTCAGGAAAAGAATTACAGGGAGTTATTCAGAGATTTCCCGTGCAGAGAATAGAGAATAATATTGAGTAGATAGAAAACTCTCCAAAGAAAAGTTCCATAATTTCTTGCTACCAGACTCGACATTAGAATGTACTCTGTAGTCTTACGTTCTTTTCAAAGAGAAGAATATTTTTCTAAAATATTATATGAGACTAAGTTTCCAACTACTAACACCAAATTTTCTAGGTTGGCATGTAGACATTTTGTCTACAGTATAATAGATTTTACCGAAGCAGTGAGATCTTGTTTCACAATCACATGGTATCCCAGTCCTTCTAGAAGCATCTTCATCCCACTGAGATCAGCCTCAGCACCAGTCCTCTTAGGAAGACTCTTAAAATCTGTGTTGCAGATAATGAGTGCAAGACGTGTGCGATTGCCTTTTTCTTTCATTGGGTAAATCTGTTGAAAATGGAAATTATGTAGGTAAATAGGTGGATTAAGATAGTTACAGGATTAGTCTTAATTATTTTTAGTTTTAATGGTAAGACCCCAAATATTTATCTTGAGTTTAATGGGGTTTCTTCTCTCTTAATCCTCTCCAGATTAAAAATTCCATGAATTATGAGTGAAAATTGGAAAGGAAATTGAGTCAGACTACATATGTGGAAGTAAAATTTGAAAATGTCTAGATGGCAACAGAAGACTAAAGTATTTATAACAGATACTGTTGAAAGTACTGCACAAGTTCTGGAGCTGAAATGACAGACTTTTAAAAATTATACTTTATAGTATTAAATTGACTTTGGACATCATACTTAATAATCTATACTTCAGTTTTCTAAGAACTAATATAAGTTATATGGGGGCTAAAGATACTGTTATGTAAATAGTGTCTGACTCTCAACAGTTGTTAATTATTCAAGTTTTTACCTCAAACTTGAAACTTCCCTCATAACCCTGGGATTCTAGGCAATGGAGATCCTTTATATAAGGAAAGGGTCATAGTGACTTTTCAGAACCTCTCAGTGAAACTGTCTTTAAGAATGAACCACTGCACTTTGAATTCTCTTCAAGTATATCTTTCACCCTGATCCTTGTGCTATGGCCATAGCACCTCTGATGCCATTTTCTGCTGCATTAATCGCGCTGTATCCGGTGAGCAGAGTTTAAGAATTCCTCCGGATCCTGAGCATGAGTTCTTTGCTGGGTTATCCTGTACTGCCAGGGAAGCTGTAAGAGACAAGAAACATTATGAATTATGGTATCTCTAGCTTTCTTTCTTGACACTCTCCATAGCATAATTATGTTGTTGTTATGTGTTGTCAAGTCGCTTGCAATTCATAGCAACCCTATGTATCATAGCCTGATACCTTGCTCTATCCTGTGCCAAATTTATTCTCTGACACACCTACCTACCCCCATTACTCCAGTCACCGAATTAATTCATCTCATCGTGTGCTTCTTCTCTTGTGCTGTCCCTTCACCCTTCCAAGCATAACATCCTTCTCCAAGGACTGGTCCTTCCTTGCAACATGTCCAAAGTATGTCAGACAAAGAGCCAGAAATGAAGAAAAGTGTTATTTAAAGAGAAACTATGGGCTAGTTGCTAAGTGAGTTCATTGTTAATTGGACACATTCCAAGTCAGAGGGAAATTTCCTGTGGTGAGACACAAAAATCTGTCCTTATCTTTCAAGATCAGGATTGTGGGGATGGAAAGAAATATTTTGGTATGAAAATATAGAATGTGAGTATTTCAGACCAATAAACTAAAAAAAAGACACTTTTATGAAAGCTATCTGTTACATAAAATTATTAAACTATAAACTTTTTTGTCAGAGGATAAGTATAGGATAACATGTTATATAAGTAGATTCTAACTACTATGTTTAAAAGTTTTAAAGGATATACATTTGTCTAGTTGTTTACTTAACCAGTCTAATATTATGCATTAGGAATACAGAAGAAGCAGCCAAAGATGAAGATTAATAGGAAGAAGAAGCTTCATCATCTCCTTCACGGTGTTTAAACTACTACTGTGTGTACAAGTTGAGAGGAAAAAGGAATTATATTGAATATATGAACTAGAATAGATATGAAATAGAGTTTTAAATTAATCATGAAACACATTAAATGGACTTACTGCTTTAGATATTAACGAGTAAAAACATGAGGAAGAGTTTTCATAGTCTTTAAGTGAGAAAAGTCCTGACGCTCTATGTGATAGCAAATTAAATATCCTTTAACAAGAGGTTACCATGATGTTTGTAAGCTTCAAATTAAGGTGTTTCTTAGTCATTTTGAGAGTCCTTTTGAAATTTAACTAGATATTAAACTTAACTAGAAACTTATTAAATTTTGAACAAGTTTGAAGAGGAAAGAAACTGTTGTATATTCAAAACAGCTAAGCCAAGCCAGCATTAAGTGTAATGACTGTGGAAAAGGTAAAAATAGCCTGAGCAACAAGAAGACAATGAAACTTAAATAGAAAAATGTGGCTCTCAATTATAATGCTTTTTAATAAGAAAATAGGGTATTGGCTATACACTGTGTACTCCATCCTATGATAGTCAAGGGAACTTGTAAGGGATATTGTTGTTGTTTTTAAGTACCATCAGATCAGAATTGACCCATAGCTGACCTTTCAGTGGGTTTTCAGTGGCAGCTTGACAGAGTGACTACTTCATTCGCCTTGAATGTGTTAGAGATTATGAGAATTACACAGGATAGAACAGGGTTCGGATCTGTTATTCATAGGGTTGCTAAAAATCATACTTGACTTCATGGCACCTAGCAACAACAACAACAGTAAATCGCATGGAAGGAGATCATCCCATCCGTACTTTTCCTGTAGAGCAGCAGGTGGATTCAAACTGCATACCTTTGCATTGGCAGTTCAATTCCTTACCAGTATATCCCCAGAGCTCCTTGTAAAGGGTAAATGATCTTAATGAACCTATAGAACAACTTCTATTTTTTAAAATTATTTTATTCCCTTACTACTAAATTTCTTCTAAATATAAGGAGGTGTGGGATTTTGATATTTTATTTTTGTTTTTTCATTATAAAAGGAAAGGGCATTTCTTCATGAAATCATCCAAGAATTAGGCATGGAAATGTGTTTGAAAACAATTAAGATGCTGATTATTTGACAAGGGAAAAGCTACATTCATATTAAAGTAAGACAGGCCCAAAAGAACCATAGACTCTATTGATGGTCTCATGGCAGAGCACTTAAAACGCAACATCTTCCTCATCATTTGTAAACTAGGGGATTAATGTGCTAGCAATATTGGGTGCAATGAATAATGTTTTTATTTGAAATTTTTTGTAGCATGAACTAGCTGGCTTTGCGAAAATGCTATTTCATTGTTTTTCTGGCCACACAGCTAGTCTACATTTCCAACCACTCTTAAGTTAGACATGGCCATTGACTGTGTTCTATGCAAGAGAACATGAGCACTAGTAAATAATCTGCCAAGTTCTTTCCAGTAACTGGTTGGTGATGACTCAGATTACGTAGACATCTTCTGTGGAAATTATTACAGACACAAGTAGAAGAAGTCTATGTGTTTAATTCCTACTCAGTGGAGAGTTGTATATGATCAAGAATGCCCACTTTATAATTTACATGAGAAAAGTCAATGAAGTTCATAAAGTTCAACTTGTAAACATACTTTCTCTGTGTGTGTGTGTATGCGTGTGTGTGTGTGTGTGTGTGTGTGTGTGTGTGTGTGTGCGCGCGCGCATGCGCCATCAAATTGGATCTGATCTGACTGGCACAGGAGAAGATTGCCCCTCCTTCTTCAGCAAAGCATCTGGTGGATTGGAACCGTGTACCTTTGGGATTGCAGCATAGCTTCTTGCCACAAGGCCACCAGAACTTCCCCCCAATTTGTAAATATACTTCTATAGTATCTGAATTATCATAACTGTTAGAGGGTTTTGTTTAACAGTGTCAGGAACATTGGAAATCAGGGAGGATTCTTACTTATGAAACGTCGTTACCTTGCATGAAAAGTAGCTCTGCTGGCAATTCTTGTGTACTGGAGTCTTTCATAGACTGCAGATCTGAGGGAAAATGAAAGAATCTTCTTTAAAATAGTTACTTCTCACCTCTCAATAACATTGTCCCAGTGTGTTAAACATATGCTACCAAAAATTCTTTCCAATGGTTTAACTGATAATTTTACCTGTTCAAAAATGGCTCACCTAAAACCAAGCTCAAAACTTGGGAAAAAGTCTCTATGTGGTGGTTGAGTGGACAGTTACTTAGCACCTCAGGCAGAAGAAGTGATGAGTGAGAAGTGATGCCCCTGGTCTCTGCCTGCTGTGATTCAAGTGTGATTGAGATCTAGGCAGCTATGTTGTTATTGTGGTTAGGTGCAGTCAAAATGACTCCAGATGACAGCAACCCTATGTACAAATGATCATACCTTGCCCAGTCCTCCTTCATTGTTACATTCTGTGCTGTTCTTGAGCTATTTACAGTGTCTATCATGTTAATCCCATTTCTTAAGGATCTTACTCTTCTTAGAAGACCCTCCACCTTGGCAAGCTTCATATCTTTAGCCAAAGACTGGCACAATGTGACAGCAATCCTAAGCTGTGTGAGACAAAGTCTCATCATTGTTGCAGCTAAGGGAAGGCCGTGCTTCATCCAAAACAGATTTGTGGTTCTTTTTATAGTCTGTTGTATATTCAATACTCTTTACCAACACTTTATTTTTAAAATGTCAGTTCCTCAGTTTTCGTTACTCATTGTTCAACTTTCACATGTAAATTAGGCACTTTAAAATACTTAGGTATTTTGATTTGACTCGGGCACACTATAGTCTTTAAACTGTCATCTTTATCATCTAGAGAACTCTGGTGGTCTAGAAGCTGGGCTGCAATCCTGAAGGTGTGTGGTTCAAGTATACCAGCTATTCTGCAGGTTGGAATAAACCTTTACTCTTGAACACATTAAATATATCTTTGACGGAAAATTTACTTTTTTTTATTCCGTGACTGTGGCTTCCATGGGTGTTGTGATTCAAGTAAAATGAAATCCTTGACAATATCATTTTTTCCCCTCCGTTTTTCAGGCGATACAGGTCTAATTTTTATTACCTACAGGTCTAATTTCGAAAGCTTTTGTTTTCTTAATAATGAGACATAATGCTTACTTGGAGGCTATTTTCTTTTATCTTCTTTGGTAAGCACTTCAAGTCCTCTTTGCTTTCAGCAAGTAAGATTGTGCCATCTGCATTAGAATCAATAAATCTCTTTACATAGGTGGTTATTGGTGGTAACTGATATAACTCAGTTGTGTGCAAAATGAAAGTTTCTAACTCAGAGCTAAATTGGTTTTGGAGAAATCTATTAATAAGATTCACCTATGATAAGGGCAAGGCTCAGATCTGTTGTTCATGGGATTGCTATAAGGCTCAGGACTGAAATAGTTGATTCAATGGCACCTAGCAGTGGTAAGTATGCAGACTTGCTTAAATATCCAGCTCAAATCATGGAAAGAATTGGTGAACTTGTTTAGAAGAATTTGTTCAGAGTCTGGGAATTAAGAGATTCCTAAAAATGTGGGGTTTTTTAAAATTATTTTTTTTATTTAGAGACTTGTTGGAACTTCCGGTCTTTGAATCTTTTTAGAATAAAAAGTTACAAAGAATATGCCCTTCATCTTAGAATTTCAGAAAATAGTGAAATGTCATCAAAATTCCTTCATAAATTCTAAAATGTTTTTCACATTTACTCTTCTTAAAATAATCCTCTTTTTTTTGATCTCCAACACAGGTTGATAAATTAAAATTCCCATAGTTCAGAGAGATACTTCACATATAATTGAAATAATTTTATAAGTTTAATGCTAGATCATCTGGATTTCTTGTAAATATTCCTAATCTTGTGTGTTTTCTGTTGCCCAATTCCTATTTTCACTGTAAAGACTAATATGAAGTAGAAGGAGAAACAAAAATGACACATTGCTATTGGCTTATGGGAAACACAGGACCAGGCTTTTTAAGTGTTACCTTTTTTACTGGCATTGAGAAGTATTACAAAGTTCAGTGACTGGTTGTCCCACAAGCATCAAAGGATGTATCATCTTGTACAGGACCACTAGTTTATTTCAAAACGTAAAAGGCCATTCGCTAAGAGTGACAGAGAAGGAAACTGGTGGTACCAAAACAAATCTGTTTTGATTTTGAATCTTGTATATTAATTACTGAGTTACTCTGTCAGCAGATACCACAGAACCCAGTGGATTCATGCATACAATAGGTTCTTTGATGGCAAAACCAGAAATCTCCTAGGAGAGCATGATCTGTTTGTCAGTAACATGTGCCTTGACCTCAGGGGACCCATGGAAAGTTCAGTTTACACTATTTGGTTGTATAAAATCACTGAAATTTGTATAAAATTCTTTTTCAGAATATTCCTTGATTGTTCATTTCAAAAAATGTAATAATTGATATATTGTTTAAGACTTTATAAGATTACAATATAAACCCATTCTCCTAAGCAACTTATTTTAGAAATGCTTAGAATAACCATGAGCAAAAAAAAAAAATGGAGAACACTTTAAATCTTTATTTCATGGTATTACTTTGTACACTAGAGTGTGTCAGAGATAAAGTATTGTCTATGTAACTGTGTCCATGCATGAAAGATATAGAAAGCCCTCCCAAATTTCAAGTTGAAGCAATAAACTGTCGTTCCTCCCATTTTTCCACTCAAGTTTATTGAAGTAAAATAGCCACCAAAAATATCAAGATTTCTGGAGGTAGTCTTGTTCCATACATTTTAAAAAATACAGAAATACTTTCCCATTAAGTGTATTACCTAAGATCAATTATTATATACTATGGTCTTTTAAAAAACTGGCAAATGAATGAAAGGGAGGAAAATTTATGGTAAATCTGCTTGAGGGATATTGTTTGATTTCTATCTAGGCAGAATTTAGGTGTTAGACAAATTCCAGAAGGTTCCAAAAGGTAGATGCCACAAAATTTCTAATGGATTGAAAGGAATGTGGCAAGGAAGAATTTAGCTTAGACTATTTATTTGAATCTTAGTGGTTATTTCAATTAACTGACTATTTAAATTTGGGTCTGAGACAGGGAGTACAAAATAAAAGCAAGTATTTAAAGAAAAACAAAAAATTAATTACAAATAGATGCATACAGATGAACTCAACAAACAACAGCAAGCTCTGGTGGCATAGTCCTCTGGGAGGTGTGCTGCTAGCTCAAGGGCCACGCCTCTGACAGTTAGGGTCCACTAGCAGCTCCACAAGAGGAAGATGGGTAGTCTCCTCCTGGTACGGGGAGTGAAAAATAAGAAAGATTGAAAGGAAAATAATAAATCCATTCCATATAGATATGCACTGATAATGCATCTGCTTTTTTCAACGTAGACAGACATAGGCTTCCCCTCTTTCTTGGAAACCAGTTTTTGTATTTTTGAAAGATTGCCCCTTTCCCCTACAGCAGCCTTAGGAATAAAACTGAGATCAATGCTTAGTCGTACTCCAGACCTTTAATCTTCATTATGTTTAGAGATAAAAGAGCCTTAGGACCAGTTCAAATTGCTACATCCCCATGTGAACTCAGAGAACTGAGAGTAAAAGGAATAGGCTTTTCAAAAGGGTCCTTAGCCTAGAACCATGCATCTAGTCAACTTAACTCAAAAGAAACCTCAAGGAGCAACTGGAGGAAGGGCTTTATTTGGAAGCCTTCATTTTCTCTGATTATTCTACCTAGCCTCTATGAGTGTCTATAACCACAATGACCAAAATATTTTTTTTTCTGGAGAGCAAAATTTTGAAAGAATACTATAAAAAGTCTCTCCCTGCAACTGTGTGGTGGAACAGATAGATGTGAGGGCTTCATATTGGCCAACTACAAATAACACCAAAATGTCATAAATCTGACTGACCAGGGGACTATGGATACAGGACATGGTCTTCAAGTTGCTGCCAGTAAAAATCCAATAACTCAATACGCAGCTTACTAAATGAGCTCTGATTAAGAGAAGAAAACAGGGGCTGAAATAACAGGAAAAGCGTAATAGAGATAGAAGACCTATGCTAGCACTACCCAAAGAAATTGGATCTGAGATCCAGAGGCAAGGAAGTTCTGCACACTGACACAACTAATGTACCATCAGATTTTTCAGCTCAAAGCCTCCTTGAACTTTAGTCTAAATCATTAACCCTTACCTGAAGTGAATCCCAGTTTCTCTTCAAGGAAAGGATCTTCACGAATATGACAGATACATATCTCACATGCTCGTGGACCTTTCTTTATAATGGAGTCAATCAAGGCGCGGGCTTTATCCATGACTGTAGCGTTTTCATCTCTAATTGTCTCCATCTCCTCCTGATTCAGTACTTTTTTTTCTAGTAGTTCATCCAGCAAGGTATTTATTGTTCCCTTGCTCATTGCTTGGATAAACAACTTCCTCTTCACCCTTAGGATGTTGTCTGTTGGAAGAACAGAAATTCTCCAAGTATGAAAATAGTCTTATTTGCTTCTCATGGCTACAAAAGGAGTTAAGTTTTAAAAGTACTCATTTTTTAAAATGTTTATCTCCATAAATATCTCTGTCCCAGAGTATTTTAAATATTCTATCCTTGCCCCACCTTCTTCTGTAATTCATATCCATATTTGCTCATGAAGTGGTCTAGAGATTAGGGTTTCAGTTCCTATAGTAGTACTTGAGGATAAGAGAGCTCCCTAACATCTTTATATTTTATTCAATTCTCAGCTAGTCTGATGGTGTTCTATGGCTTACTCTGTAAGAAAGTGTGCTAACCTATTTCCTCCTTGAGCAGCAGTTACTGCTTCCTATCCAGGGCAGATTCTGCACCTTCAGCCACGCTCACCTCCGTTGAGAGTTCAGTTAAGATTGAGAAATGACGGCAGGAGATCAGTAAAGTGCAGTTCCTCTCTGCCCTTTCATTTCTGCTTCTTAAATTCTTAAAGGCTGTTAAACTCCTTTCAACTTTTTTGTCCTCTCTCCTCACCAACTCTTCTCCCCAATTCCTTGGTCTACTCTTACAAACATTTCTTGCACTAAATGAGTGCTAACTCAACACTAAAAAATACTTTTTTGTTCACTTTTTTAAAGAGTAAAGGAAAAATAAAAAAATAAACAAAAAACTTACCCGCCATGGCTTCTTGCTCTCACCCTTGCTCAGTGGTCTAAAACTGAAAGCATGTTCCACTTTCCTTTTTCCGGCAAGCTCTCTACTCAGATTGAGCAATAACCATTGTATTTGCATTCCTCTTCCCTCCACCCCCAAAGAAATAATCAGATTCCTGAAATTTAACTTGCATCAGGGGATACAGCTTTGGAATATTCTCTTCACTAACACTTGGATTGGGTCAGGATAAAAGAGAGCTAATTGGAGAATATGAAAGAATTGAGGGGAAAAAAAGAATTGAGAAAGGATATACACAAACTCTTATACACACACACACGAATCTGTAATTCATGGAGGAATTAATTTACCTTTTGGAGGAAGTGATAGTATTGGTTAGCTCAGGATTCAAAGTAACATCTATAGTTCTTGGGGTTTTTTTGGTTTTGTTTTGTTTTATTTAAGAAGTGTTTCACAGTTGATGCACCCAATGTAATATACCATTTGATTTTTTTTTTCCTTAGTGAAAGATACAAGGTAAATTAGATTTTACACAATCATTCAGACATATTTTGTTCTATAATACCACTTACTATATTCACAATGAAACAACACTTTTTGCATCTTTCCTATGAATTCTGGTTTTCATTAATCCTTCTCTATTATGACTGACTTATTACACGCAGCATAATGTCCTTTAGAATCTTTATTGTCATACAATGTTTCTATGATCATTGAGTATGGTTCCAAGTAAATGAAAATCCTTAACACTTTCAATCTTTATCTGCTTAACTTGATGTTGCTTAAAAGTCTAATTATAAGTGGTTTTGTTTTATTTGTTTATATTCCATGATGAAGGCACTTAGATTTGATCTCTTTCAGTAAGTGATTCAAATTCTTTTCATTTCAACAAATAAGGTTGTGTTTTCAGCGTAACTCCAGATGTTAATGAGTCTTTCTCTAATCTTCTGCAGCTTTCTTATTCATAATGTCTATCTTCTCAGGTTTCTTTTTTCAGTATAAAATCTGAATAATTATAGTTAAAGGACAGAATATTTATGGACAATTTTCCAGATTTTAAAAATACAATACTACCTTAGTCTGTATGAATGACTGGCTCTTGGTCTACTGATATGCAAGTACATGAGCAATATCCTTTTTTTTATGAATTATAAGCTACTTTATAGTACCTTACAAATAAGTTTCATTCCTTTATTTGTGTGAAGGAATCTTATTTTTGCTTCTTAGTATGAATGGCATAATGTCAAAACTAAGTCTCAGTACCTTCAATACATGTTCATCATGAGCTAAATCCCAGAAGAAAGAGATTTCCAAGATGGATTTCTTTATAGAATGCTTCTAAATTCTTCATATGCTTTATTTCATTACAACTGTTTAAGTTAGACAGGTTAAGTGTTAATTTCATTATGTGAATATGACAGATATCAGAAAGGACAAACTCAAAGAGAACAAAACTTGTATGAAAATACAGCTCTTCTCCTAATAATTTCTGTGTGATGTATTGCTCTCCAATTTAGCAGTGTACTGGAAAATAAGGATTATGTAAGCAGAGGATAGGACTATGAAGTTGGTTTTCTGAATAAGAAGATATTGTGGATGATAGAATGTATAAGAACAGTGATATAATTGAATAATGAGAAAAGAGAGTGTGGATAAATATATTTTGAGATATCAGAATGGTGTTGTGCTACTATCAAGTTGTTGTTGATGCACTATGTGCCATTGACATGACTAAAACTCATAGTGACCCTATGAACAACATCTGTGAACCTAACCTTACCCTCAGCCAACCACATCATCTCTGACACACCTGACCCCATATGTGAGACAAAGTTTCAAACTACTTTCTCTAAGGAGCAACCTGATTTAATTTTGTCCAGAATGGAACTGTTTGTTCTCTCGATAGTCCACAGCTTAGAGACATTAATTCTTCTCTTACCATCCTTATTCATCATCCAGCTCCAAGATAGCAAGTAATTGAGAAGACTATGGTCTGAATCAAGTGCATCTTAATCTCTATATTGACATCATTGCTCTTTAGCACTGAGAGGTCTTTAACAGATTTTCCTAATGCAACTCATCTTTTGATTTCTTACTTGCTGGTGTCAAGTTTATTGATTGTGAATCCAAGCAAGATGAAATCATTAATAACTTGACTATTTTCTCCAACTAGCATGATGCTGCTCATTGTCCTGGTGGACAGGACTTTCTTGATGTTGAGATAAACTCTATATTGAAGGCTACAGTTCCTGATCTTCTCCAGCAAAAGTTTCAAGTCTTCAACAGTGTCAGCAAACAAAGCTGTACACACAACTGCTCCTTGGAGGCAAGGATTCTGAGGCTTCGTCTGATGTACTTTGGTCATGTTGTAAGGAGGGACCAGTCCTTGGAGAGGGACATCATGCTTGGAAGGGTGGAGGGACAGCGCAGGAGGGGAAGACCCTCTATGAGGTGGATTGATTCGGTGACTGGGGCAATTGGGATGGGTGTGTCAGAGACAGTGAGATTGGCACAGGACAGCAGAGTTTAGGGCTGTTGTACATAGGGTAGCTATGAGTCACAAACGACTCGATGGCACATAACAATAACAACAACAACAACAACACCATTTGATGCCGCATTCTTCTGCAGAAAGTCCATCTTTCAAATTATCTGTTCAGTGTATAGATTGAAAAGGTACAGAGCTATCAGTGCGGAGCAAACAGTGAATGATCCAGGAAGTATCAAAGAAAGGATGGAAAGAATACACGGAGTCACTGTATCAAAAAGAATTGGCTGACAGAGAACATTTCAGAAAGTATCATATGATCAAGAACTAGTTGTAATAAAGGAAGATACTCAAGCTTCTCTAAAGGAATGGAGGTGGGGGAAATAAGACATAGGGACTGACAGAATACCACTTGACATATTTCAATACACAGATGCAGACCTAGATGTGTTCACCAGGTTGTACGAACAAAACGGAAGGACAGTTGCCTAACCAATTGGCTTGAAGAGATCTAGAGTGTTCACATTCACAAAAAAAAAGGTGATCCAACAGAATGTAAAAACTATCAAACAATATCATTAATATCATATACAATGACTAGAACATTACATTGACAGAGAGCTGCCAGAAATACAAGCTAGGTTTAGAAGAGGCTGTGACACTAAGAATATCATTGCTGATGTCACACGGATTTTGACTGAAAGAAAGATTACCAGAATGATGCCTATTTGTGTTTTATTGACTATACAAAGCTATGTGACTGTGTGGATTAAAAAAAAATGTGAGTAAGATTGGAAAGAATGGACATCCAGAACACATGATTGTGCTCATACAAAATCTATATCTAGAACAAGGAGTGATTGTATAAACATATCAAGGCAATATTTTATGGTTCAAAATCAAGGAAGGAGTGCATTGGGGACATATCCTTTCTCTACAACTTTTAAATATCCATGACATCAAATAGGATCAACTAACAGCATGGAGCATTCTGCGAAAGTAGCACCTGACTGGCAAAATACTCTCTTGAAAAATTTCTGGATTAGAAATGGAAAGACAAAGTAATTCACTGAGGAAGCTCTGTGTTTTAAGTACTGATATTGTTCCAGAAACTGAGTACTTATTATTCATAACATAATTTTAAAATCAGGAAGCTGAGTTCAGAGTTAATAAGTAATATGATGTCTGTTAGTTCAAGGTATGATCTGATGACTTTACTCCAAAGTCCTTAACACCTCTTTTCTTATCTATTCTGAGTGAATACATAAAATTAGTGCAAGATAATAACAAAACTACAGAAGCCAGAATCAAAGGGGGGGGGGTAGTCATTTTGCTTTCATAAAAAAGTACTTGTTGGAAAATATTTTTTGATAAGTAGACCAAGTCCAGACTGAAATGTGTAAAATGGCTTATCAGATAATTCATATTAAACCATAAACCTTTGGTAGTGGTTTGTTCTTGCTGTTATGTGCTGTTCAGTCAAGTATGCCTCATAATTACTATCACTATTTAATTCATCTCATTAAGTATAATTTTCCAAGACTATAAATCACATGAGAAGGTTGGGGGAACTTACCTTCACTCTGCTGCAAGATGTCAAAGCCTGTGCTGCACGGATGACTCAGAGGCAACTTACAACCTCTGCTTCCCCTGCATCTACTAAAGACTGTGACCCAGCCCAGGTACACTCCCACCCTGGCCTGTAAGAGAACCACTACCTGCCAGGTTGAGGGGCTGCAGTTTTAGGCTGCAATCATGCCCAGTGCAGTAGACCTCTTCCCCTCTGACCTGGAGATGACCCAACTGTTTCCCCTGATGTC